ACATAGTGAGCCGTCTACACAAAAATCAATTAAAAGACCATATAATGAATACATTTAAAAAACAAACTTACCTGTACGGGTTAGAATCCACAACTTCGGCGCTCATTTTGTCAATTTTCGGTCTATTTAGTGCCTGACTGTGAGAATCTTCCGCGGCACACTGCTTCTGCTTACACTTTATCAGCTCATTCTCCAACTCTCTCACCCTCAACTTCAGCTCCTCCACCGTCGCCATCAGGAAAAAAGTCGAAGGCTAAACTATGTAAAAGAAATAATAATAATGCTGTACACAAAAACGTCAATTCAAAAACCCTACAGGAATCGACACAGAAAGTACACGTCTTCGCTGCTCAAACCAGCTGTCAGGATGTGTGTTCCCGTTAACAGTGTTCGTGCAGAAAACGAGCACAAACACCCTACAGTGTTCCCACATCACCATTGAATTGTTTAAACCCTTATTTTATTGTTTTATTTTAGTATCGAAAATCTTCTAGTCATTAGTTTTTAAAGGACATAATTATAATTTTATAAATTTGTGACAATAAATTAACTTTTAAGGGGCGTTACCTCGTTGTGCTTATCGATAAACGGTCCGACCACCATATCAATAATGCTAAACGTAGCTAGCGCAACGATACATCTGACAATGATTAATCCAGAGTTATAACTGCGAAATGGAGGAACCGACAACTCCTGTACGACAGCAGCATAAATTCAATGTTGGCAGGCTTCAGAGATATCTGACTGCCAAGACACTTTTGTCAAACAATGACACCCTGACTGTAAGACAGTACAGGTAAGGTAGCCAGGTCTGTCTTCATTTTGTAGTGTCAAAGTTAATCTTGTGCAAATGTTTCGCCTGCTGATAACATGCTAAGGACACTCTCTTATCTTTTCAGTGCTGGACAGTCAAACCCAACTTTCCTAATCCAGACGCCGTCAAACAGTTATGTTCTCAGGAAGCAACCCCCAGGTGAGCTGTTGCCAGGAGCTCACAAGGTAAGGCTCCCCACACAGTTATTATAGTTCTGGTTAAAAAATAAATAAAATATTGTCAATGTTGCCTGAGTTAGTTTCCTCACTTAAATTTTTACCATTTTAAATGGATAGGTTAGTTTGTTTTTATGTGTTCTCCTATAACTTTTATATATGTTTTACTTCCCAGTCTCAATAAACATCTCCAATGCTTCCTCATTCTGTCTGTGTTTTAGTTTAGTTTGGGTTAACTGGTGAATCACTTACTCAACACTTATCCAGTTCAGGGGTTGCTGGAGCCTGCCCAGCCATATGTTTTCAATACGTGCTTTAATTAATTCTCATTATTTTTGGCAGCAACCACAACCTCAAGTGGTAAACAGCAAATAAATCAATAAATAAAACTGGGGGATATTTTTACATTAGGATTGCGGGTAGGTTAAGATGACCTGCTGAAGTTCATTCCCAGCGAGACAATGGGAAAGAGGAGATTTAAGTGACTTTTAAGGTGGTATGGTTGTTTTTGCCAGACAGGTTGGTCTGAGTATTTTAGAAACTGCTGATCTACTAGGATTTTCCTGCATATCCATACCTAAGATTTACAGAGAGAATGGTCAGAAAAAGAGAAGATATCCAGTGAGCAGCATTTATTTGCTCTGAAGTGCTGTGTTGACATCAGAGGTCAGAGTAGAATAGACTGACTGCTCTGAGCTAATAGGAAGGCATAAGCAACTCAAATAACCACTTGTTCCAACCAAGATATGCAGAAGAGCATCTCTGAATGCACAACACGTCGAACCTTGAATTAGATGGTTTACAGTAGTAGAAAATCAAACCGGCCCACACAGTCACATTCAATACAATAAAGCACGATTGGGATGTGGTGGAACCAGAAATTCAATTATAGATGTGCAGCTGACAAATCTGCAGCAACTGTGTGATATCATGTCAGTATTTATAAAAAAATCTCTGAAGAATGTTTCCAGCACCTTAATGACTCTGTGCCACAAAGAATTAAGGCAGTTCTGAAGGCATAAGGTCGTCTAATCAGTACTAGCAATGTGTACCTAATAAAGTCGTCATCGTTTATAGTTTGGTTTTATGGTTGTATAATAACCTTGTTTTGACCACTGAAATAGTTGACAAATACAGACAAAACACAGTGGTGTTGTGCATCAGTTAACAAGTCACAAGTTTATTTTTCAGCCTTGATCTTTTTTTTAATGAGAATTGTTTTTTTATATGGTACTATGATTAGTTATAAAAATTAAGCTATTTTTTTTTAATAACCCGAATGAATATATTTATATCTAATGAAAGCTTCATACGTATTACTTATGTTTAATACTAAATGTTGCTTTACATTTACCATCTGTGCACAAACACTGTTTTGTGTGACCTTGTAACTAATTGGATTTAATCAAATGAAAGAGCTCACGTTTCCCCAAATGTTTGGGAAAGTAGCACGTGATCATATTAACTTCACTCAGTGGGTGAAGTTTTCTCATAGACGTGGATTTTTCTGCTTTGTTTACAGGTGGACAGGGAGTATCGAGTGCAGAAGGTCCTCTTCTCTGTTGGTTTCCCCGTTCCACAGCCCCTTCTGTACTGCGCTGATATTGAAGTCATTGGAACAGAGTTCTACTTAATGCAACATGTGAAGGTACTTAGGAGTCACAAGTCCCTGAATCTAATATTTTTTTCTAATGGTTTTGCTTGACTTGGCTCTAAGTCTCATCGGTAAAAGGTTTAATTTGCCTTTTCTTGCCAGTGTATTTTAGTGCGAGCTTGTGCTTTCATCAGAGATGAAAATATTATTTTTGTTTGACGGCAATCGTGCAATTCTGTTTATTAGGGGCGCATATTCAGGGATCTTCGTCTACCTGGAGTGAGTCCAGCAGAGAGAACAGCTCTGTATGTGGCTGCGGTGGAAGTCCTGGCAAAGCTGCACTCACTGGATCTGCCATCACTGAACCTTGAAGCATATGGAAGAGGGCCAGGTTATTGCAGAAGACAAGTGAGTTAACACAGCATTCATTAAATCGAAGTCATTTTACTGTTTATTTGATCTGGAACTCAGTCAAGATTTGTGAAATTAAAGAATGTCTTTTTATCTGTAAAGGTTTCCACCTGGACCAAGCAGTACACTGCGGCAGCCCACAGAGACATTCCAGCCATGAATGAACTGTCTGATTGGTTGATGAAAAATCTACCAGCCAGTGACAATGAGGTGACCCTTGTCCACGGAGATTATCGACTGGATAACTTAATATTCCATCCAACAGAGGTACACTTTCTCTGATCTTTATTTTTAAACCTTTGCTACATTTGTCTGTGAATACTTCACAAAGTCTGTTTTATGTGATAAGGCGCATGTGATCGCTGTGTTGGACTGGGAGCTTTCTACCACTGGACAGCCACTGGCAGATCTGGCCTACTTCCTTATGCCACAATACTGGCCTGCAAGTCTCAGCGTTATCAGCACGATGGGCAGTTTAAAAGGAATAGAGGGTAACGCCAACAACTGTTGATAACTCTGACAGTGATTAACATTTATAGACAGTGGAAAAACAAACAGATTTGTTGTTTTCAGAAATTTGTATTTGATTATGATTTTATATCTGTTATTTATTTGTTTATGTCTGCTCACAGTCTTGTCCCTCTGATCTTATTCCTCAATGAGCAGGTATCCCAACTGTGGAAGACCTGATCTCCATTTACTGCAGGTGCCGGGGGATCCCCCCTGCATTGCCACAACTGAATTTCTACTTGGCCCTGTCTGTCTTTAAAATGGCAGGAATTGCCCAGGTTTGTACCAAATTACAACACTAGGCTGATTTTCTTTTTTTTTTTTTTACTGGCATACAGTATTGTGCAACTCACAGCGCCATACCTCATTTCCTCATATTTAATTAAAAGTAATAGACAAGCACATAATGTAGTCCCTTAATCTTTCATTAAAATTAAGATCTTTTTAAATTATTATTTGTTTTTCGTAGGGGATCTACGCTCGTCACCTCCTGGGTAATGCCAGTGCACCAAATGCAGCTCAGTTTGGCCAGTGTGTGGAGCCCTTGGCTAAGGTTGCCTTGCAGCTTGGGCAGAGGTAGGTTTCAGTAATGAATGAATTCCTTGTGCAGCAATGCACTGATATCCTTTGACACATTCAGACATAAGTTTAGCATAAACACTCTGCTGTAGCAGGAATATTTTCAAAATCCTTCGTCACTGAAGGTCAAAAAAACTGATAGATCCCACCTGTTGATTATATGTAAGACAGCTGCAGTTGGAATTTGACACCCAGCTGTTGTTCCTGATATTCTCTGTTAGAATTTTAACATTTGAAATGTGTTTGATGCCAGGCCCCTCACAGGTCCAACAAAGGACAGATTGTTTTTCCAGACAGCTAAAGGTCGGGCTGTTCTCCAGCAGGTCAAAGATTTCATGAGACAATATGTGCTTCCTGCTCAGAAGGTCAGTTCCAAGAGCTGCCAAGAACAGACGGGTTTTGTGTGCATTGATGAAATTTTAACTTGTGTACACAGCAGTTCGTTTCTTCACTGAAGGCTAATAAAGTAGAGTCAAAGAACAATGTGTCTCCTGGTTACATAAAATATGCTGCATATGGGCATCATCACATGGCAGGGCTTTGTAGCATTCTCACGTAAAGTGAAACAGATGAAGAACCACAAGCTCTTGCATGAAGCTATCTCTGCATGAATATATTGTTGAGCTGATGTTACCATTGAGTGCCTGTAATGCTTGTAGCATCAACATGAACTCACTTGACAATTCACTTTGTGGAAAAATATTGTTGTTCCTTAGGAGGTTGCACAGTATTACACCAAACACGCTGAGTCTCCACAGAGATGGCACACCCCTCAAATTATAGAGGATCTGAAGGTATGTAGGGTTGATTTCTTTTGTTTTTGTTTTTTAAACTTAGTAACTCAGTCTCTTTTTTACACAAATCCTACATAGTTAAAATGACAGCACATAAGGGTGCAAAACAAAAAAACACAACCACATGTGATAGAGGACGGTCTAAGATCAAGTATTAGTCCAGAAAGTTCAACACCCAAGTTTATTTGACTCTTTTGTAAATAGCACACCTGAGACAGCCACGCACTGCAACCCATCATTAGTATTTGGCGTTTGAGCAAAATTACTATTATTTGTGTCTCCGTGGATCTGTTCCAATTTCTGGAGCTCTGCTTGTTATCAGCTTAGACAGGGAAAGAAGCCGTGGCTTGCATTTTCACTCTGTATAATAACATGTGTCTGTGTGCAGATTAAAGCCAGGGAAGCCGGGCTGTGGAACCTGTTCCTGCCTGCAGTCAGTGGGCTCACCCAGCTGGATTATGCCTATATTGCTGAAGAAACCGGCCGCTGTGTGTTTGCCCCTGAAGTCTTTAACTGCCAGGCTCCTGGTAAAATATCTACATCAAAGATCTTTGATAATATTACAGATCAATTTTGTCCCTTACTTTGCTCTACTAGGATGGGCTTGCTCTGTGTATATAGAAGCTAGACTGCATTTTCTCCTATTTTTTTTGAAAAAGACTCTCCAGATGTCAATATTTCAACCTCGTTTTAGTCATAACGCTCCATTTTGGGGTTTTAAAAATATATCTTCCAAACCACACAAAAATCTCCAGATTCAGCTTTTTAAGGTATTTATCATTTATCATAAATCAGTCTTCCACGAGAGCATAAAGGATCCCAAATTCAGCTAGTAATTACTGGAAGATTATGACTATATTTTTTTTTCCACAGACACAGGAAATATGGAAGTGCTCCACATGTTTGGCAGTGAGGAGCAGAAGAAGAAATGGCTGGAACCTTTACTCAGAGGAGAGATTCGCTCCTGCTTCTGTATGACAGGTAGTTCCAAGAACTGGTCACAAAAAAATGCTTAGAGAAAAACATACCAAAATCTGTGTTGGTGATTGAAAACAAAGTTTAAGGAATCTGTCATATCTATAAGGAAAGCTTTCTTGGTGTAGTTTGGAACACTTTCTGTTATGAATTCATAAAATTTCTTCCCTTTTCCAAAGTATTTCTAATGTTCACTTCTCAAAATATGTGTTGTGGTCTTCAGTCACATTGTTTTCTGCCAAGTGCAGATTGTGGTCTTGATTAGGCTAACTTATAGAAGGCATGGCTGCTACTGACTGAGGGAAAGGCCCTTCACACGCCAATAGCAAACACGAGATCCCGATGAGTAATTTCTGCCTGTTTTGTTCTCTTTTGCTTTTAATGCTGCCTGGAAACAGCGACATGCTGCTGCCAGAGGTGATTACGGTGGTTTTGAACATCCTTGTTTTTTTTTGTTTTGTTTTTTTTATCAACACATAGAGATTAATAGTGTTTTGGATACATTTTGTTTTGCACAGCAGTGCAGTCATTTTCCAGTATTGAGTAAAAGTACTCAGTCTGAAGTGCTGAAGGAGCCAGACATTCTTGTCATTTGTTTAAAGTGGTTTTGATGAGTTCTCAAGGTCTTCTGGAGGTCTTTTAAAGTTGTCTTCATTTTCATTGCAGTTCTTATACCTGACCATTTTCCAAGGAATCTTCTTTTTCCTCCCTGTTTGTTTGTTAAGCCACTTAACACTGACCTATGAGTCATTTCAGTGCTAAAAGGCACCCAGTTCAAGGGTTGAACCAGTGTTGTGTCTACTCATAGAGACAACTTGGCAAAGAAACACTGTTGCCTGTCGCAAAAACACATAATTTGTTCCCATGTCTTTATTTAAACATGGGTTAACACGGGTTAACAGTTTTGTTGTCAGATCCTGATCCACCATGAAATACCATCTGGAGAGCATCTGATTGGCAACTGCTTCACTTTATATCACGACAATGATCCCAAACACACTGCCACTGCAGCAAAAGCATAGCGGGATAGAAAAGCACACAGTGGGACGCTATCAATCCTGGACTGGCCACCCCAGACTGCAGACGTCAATATTATTGAAGCAGTGTGGGATCATCTTGACAGAGAATAAAACAAATGGCAGCCAACATCCAAAGAAGAGCTTTGGATGTCCTTCAAGAAGGAGAACTATTCCTGAAGACTACTTAAAGATATGACAAAAAGGTTCAGGCTGTGAAGAAGAAAAAAAGAAAGTCAGATCAAATATTGATTTTTCAAACCTGTCAAAATTGTCAAAATATATTTTATTTCCATATATGTTTGCACATTTTTAAATACATCACTGCAACCATTTTCCATTTTCCTAACAAAATCTAAAGAAATAAGGGAGCAAAAGAAGAAATTAGCACTTTTGCACAGTACTCGATTACACTGGATGATGAGGAGAACCCATTGTCGTGCACTGATAAATAATTTAAACTTCTGGTAACATCTGCTGTATATTTGAACCCTTTGGCCGTGAAGGGAAGCTTAAGATAATTTGGGTTACCAGACGTGTAAAAACATGAGTCTGAGTTGAGTTTCATTGAGTATTGTGATATGTTATCAGTATTGTCGTGGTACTTCCTGTAAAATAGTACTTCCCGTGGTCCCCTCCTCAGAACCTGATGTGGCCTCCAGTGATGCAACCAACATGGAGTGTAGTCTTCACAGGGATAAAGACGACTACATCATAAATGGGAAAAAATGGTGGAGCAGCGGTAAGTATTTGTTTTTTTAGCTGGCATTTGTTTGTTCATTTGTCTCCTGGAGACATCAGCTTTGGCAGAACTGCCACAAAAGCAGTTTGGAGTGTTTTTACTGTTTTGTCAACGATGCATTTATGTACGAAACTTGAATGGGGGCCAAGTTTGAAGATGGGTGTGCTCCAGCCCATGTGTACTGAGTTTAGGATGCCGGAAGTAACTGGTTTTGCTGTTAGCTCATAACTTTGTTTGTTCCCGTCGCCAAGGCAAATTGTGGCCTTGGAGATTCTTAATGTTGCAGGGAGTACCCCACAGGAATTTTGTAGTATGCTGATGTCAGCTGGAAAATGTCCCAAGTTTGCAAGATTAATGAAATGTTGCAGGTGTGATTTGACATAAACAGCAGGACTGAGTGCAACTGCTACAAAGAAATTAGTGCTGTGGCTCGTGCGATTTCATTGCATTTACTTTAGAGAGCCTAAAGTCTGTAAACAAAGAGCAGTTGTTTTATCACAATCCCTGCTTTAAAATATTTTAGAGAAAGTCCCCATAAACCAAAGAATGTTTTTAAAAGGGTGAACCTGAAAGTGTTGTTGATCATAAATGTCTTAAAGAGCCTTTCTCAGTAAGAGATGAGTTTATGCAATCAAAATGTTACTGTAGCAAAGCAGCGCAGAGATGCATGTCAAACCAAAGTGCGAACATATGGACAACAAAAAAGGGCAACAGACTCTTGCGGGAATGATTATATAACATAAATAATTTTAAAAGTCGGAAAAATCTTGGCTTCATGCCTTTCTGAGAAACCTGGCTTCAGTTTTCCAACAGGTTGAACCAGTATAGGATCATGGATCAACTGGCATTTTATTTCTAAATGAGTCATCGCACATGAATCAAGTTTCAAAGACAACAAAATGGCCTTAAAATCCTAAAATAAATCTGCTGCTGCAAACGGTTGCAGTGCCCCGAAAAAATATTTGCCTATTTCCCAAACGAATCATCAAACAAATGTGACATAGGTTAAAAAAAAATCTCAAAGAGCAACACATCACCCCTACTCTAAAGAAACTCAAGAACAGCTGAGAAACAAAGTCATCAACGTTTATCAGTCTCGAAAGTATTACAAAGCCATTTATAAGGTTTTGGGACTCCAGTGAACCACAGTGGGAGCCATTACACACAAATGGAAAAAACAGAATAGTGTGGAACCTTCCCAGAAGTGGCCAGCCTATCACGAGCACAACAATGACTCTTCCAGGAAGTCACAAATGAACCCAGAACGTCATCTTAAAAACTGCAGATGTCATTTCCCTCAGTTATGGTCAGAATTCATGATTCAACAGTAACAAAGAGACGGGACAAAAATAACGTGTGGGAGAGTTCAAGGAG